ATCATTTCTCTTCTCATCAAACTTTTGGCCTCAGAATAAACATTCTAAAGCGAAATGTGCTCTCCTATTTAAAAACAACCCAGAGTCCCTAGCATCAGCTCTTTGGCCCAGATAGAACAAAACCACAGTGCAGAGAAGGGCTGTCCAGAGTATCTGTGACAGAGTCTAAAACCTACTGGGCTAGGGATAACTATGCTACAAGTCAGCAGTCTTAACTACTTCTCTAACATTCGTAATTTTTATAAATGCACAACCAGGTTGGGAAGGATGTAGGCAGCCCCTCACAGAGAGTTAAGGGACACCCTTCGCAGAGACAGGAGAGGCAGAGCTCTCAGCACAACTGCCCTTCCCCAACTATAATCGTCTCACCACTATGAGCCCAGGTGGTAATCTTTCCCCCAAAACCTCACAACTAAACCTGTCCTGCATCACATCACACTACCTGGGTGCTTCCCTGCCAGCTGTCACTACGCGGTAATTCTTATCAGAGCTTCTGGTTTTTTCCAGTAATGGGGATTGAACCCAGGGCCTTTGTACTGAGCTACATTCTTTAAAATTTTGACAGGATCTCACTAAGTCCCCAAGGCAGGCCTCAAACTTGGAATCCTCCTGCTTCAGCTTCCCATAGCCTTGGATTACAGATGTGTACCATACCCAGCTTCATTTTATCTCACCCAATAAAGCCCTCTTTTCAACCCTCTCACTGTGTGCTCTGGATCCGTCATCCGCCTCCCCTGTTCTCTCTTCTCTCATCACTCACCCCTAGGACACTCCTTCCCTTGGAGTCCTGTCAGTGGTAGTTTTCTCTCCTCCCATACCTGAAATACCAGTGCCTGATGGTGGGTTCTACGTTATACCACTGCCATTTCTAAGCTTTCACTTCCCCCCAAACCCTCAAAGACCCCAACTTCTTTAAACTAAATTCATCCTGGGTTGCTAATGTCATCCTTTCAGTAAACACTGCTTCAACCACTTGTAGCAATTACCCACCCACAGAGAAGAGCTATTTAACAACATGGTCTATTTCTGACCTCTTTACATCTGAATCACCTCTTCCACTCTTCCTGCCTCCCTTTTGCATAGTCACAACCTAGTTTTGTCATTAGGAGTACCTCAGCCCAGACTAGGGCTATGTCACACTTTTCCAGCTCCCTAAGTACTCCATGGAGCCCCCTGCCAGGATTTTATTTGGCCATTCAGGATTCAGCCTTGGACCTTGGAATGGGAGAGTGGATGCTGGGAAGGTCATGTGTCAACTATATATATATATATTTTTTTTTTTTTGGTACCAGGGATTGAACTCGGGACCTTGCGCTTGCAAGGCAGGTGGCGGAACCACTGAGCTAAATCCCAGGCCCCCTTGTGTTCATTTTCAATGCCTGTGACGCTTTCTCCATTGACTTGGCACTTACATGTCAGTAACTTACATGCCACTTACCAATGCTCTACACGCCAGCCATCCTGCATTTTGAGTGTATTTGCTTATTCAAGACTATTTTACACCTTTTTCCCTTTAATCCTCTAACACCCCTTAAAAGCCTTTTTTGATTTCCAAGACCCAGCAAATCAAAAACAAATACCTTTTAACTGAAATATTCTGAATGAGGAAATGACAGTGTCAATATCCAAGAACAGGAAAATGTCTTTAGCCATCTTTCAATAGGCTTCCTTCCCAGAGATCTTTTCTTTGATTCTACCATGAATAAATGTGTTTCTACTGAAATATGGCTTAGCCAATTTTGAGTAAATTTATCTTTGTAGCCAGCAGTATCCTTTCCAATCCTTCCCTAGGTTTTTTTTTTTGGTAAGGGGATCAAACTCAGGACCTTGCGCTTGGCAGGCAGCAGAACCACTCCAGTACAATGCCCAATAGAAACCATGATAGCAAGCATCCCGTTCATTTTCAAGGAAGCAAAATAGTCTGATGTGAAGGCACCTAATTCCTTCCTACTTCCCCTTGCTCACTGCTCCAGCCAGTTTCCAGAATGAATTCTGGCTCTCACTGGAGGCTGGGAAATCAGGCTCAAGGACACAGATTACAAGGACTATTTGGCAGACAAGGAAGTCATTGCTGTTGCTCCAAAGCAGAGCTTCCACCCTCTCCAGCAAAATGGACTGTGTAGCCGCTAGAAGTGTTGTGGTTGCCAATCTCATGTCACTCTGACTGGCAGGACAGGATCTCTGTTTGCTGTGTTGTCTTACAAAGGTAAAGGTGCAGAGGCTCTGAAATCCTCACAAAAAAATCCTAGAGTAAAAATATTCAAAGAACACCAGACATACTTAAAAATGTATGCCTGGTTGTTTGTAACACTGGTATGGTAGCAAGACTATCCACCCTAACTTCTCTTCATTTTTAATACATTTAACATTAGCTATTTAACCAGTATCGCTGGCCTCTCCACTTCCACTGTATTTGTAACTGTCTTAGTCACTTTTCTTGTCCCTGGGAAAAAATTCTGAACACCCACAGCTTAAAAGGAAAAGCTGCTTACCTCACGGCAGTCAGGAAGCTAAGAATCTAGGAGCCAGGAGAGGAGATACAGCCTTCCTGGTCACCACTCTGGTGACCCACCTCTTCAGACCAGGTCTCATCTTTTAACCCCACATTTGGCCAGTGCCTCATGATTTAAGCATCTTTCAAAAGGCTCTGCCTATGAGCAAATAAGACTCTAGGGGGTCTAGATGTAAACCATAACAGTACATGCAACTATCGGTATCTTAGTACCAGTAATGTTCAAGCTTTTTTTTTGTACTGGGGATCGAACTTGGGACCTCAGACTTGCGAGGCAGGCAGAGGAACCAGAGCTAAATACCTGGCCCAATTTGTACTCTTGCCAACACTGGGTATTTGAGAAATCACCAGCAAGGTATGGGGACTAACACATTTCTGTAGCACGAACATCTACTACTAAATGGGGTAAAAAATTTGTCACATTACCAGAATTGGCACCAAATTGATTTACAAGATTTTTAGCAAATGCTAAATGCCCACTACACCCACAAGTCTTTAAGTCCAACAGGATCTGTTATGTGAACCCCAAGCACTTTCTGGAAAGAGGTACCATTGCCTGGACTTGCAAGGCACTACACGGGCTCTGGAAACAGACCAGGAGGTACATGTCTATAACCCCAGCACTCTGGAAGGCTGAGGTGGGAGAACCTTTCTAAGTGTGAGCTTAGGCAACTTGTCTCAAACAAGAGTTTCTAGATTTTTTTTTTTGTACTGAGGATTGAACTCACGACCTCGTGCTTGCGAGGCAGGCATGGTGCCACTGAGCTTAAATCCCTGGCCCCTGGACAACCCATTTTTAATGAAGTACTACTGTAACTGGTTATTTTGCAATGCAGGCCAAAGAATATCTTAACATTAAACAACAGTCAGATAAGGCTTAAGCTACAAGATGTTGCAACCACAAAAACGCAGTCTTACTATTTGAGCAGCCTTCTCACAGCCATTAGTTCTCTACCAGAGAACTAGACAAGCCACTCATCAGGGAGCACACCTGACTCCATGGCAGGCCCTTGCAACTGGCAGCTGAAATAATTCTATCACAATGACAGCTAAGTGGAACAGGAATCCAAACCCAGTCAAGTCTATGCTAGAGAACACTCCTTCCCATTCAAAACAACCCCCCCAAATTTATACCATATTATCATTTCTACAAAGCATTTCTGACAGATGAACTAATCCTTAAATGAAAAACAGACCATTTATCGAGTACATTATTTCCCAATTTTCACTATGAACCCACAAAAAAGGATTACAGATTTTAAGGAAATTTTTCTAAATGAGACCGTGTTATCTGCACACCGGTTTAACATCAGGGTCCTATGAACACTGAAGGAGTTGCTAAAACAAAACCACACAGAGATATAAAGACAATTATTTAAGACCTTTATTAACAGGTGCTTGCAGTTTGTTGACTTTTTTGAAAAAATCAAGTTGTAAACTTTTATTACAAATTAAAAATGAAGTTCTTAAAAATCTCAACTTGACCAGATA